ATTTTTGTCTAATATTTGCCATATTATGATCATTCACTAAATAGTCAAATTTAATGCACTAAGTTCAACTCTAAATGAGACAGATCAGTTGTCAAGCCTGCATCTGGCATTAAATCAAGAGTCCTAGCATTTTATAGGGCTCCTCTAAGGCTATGTGTGGCTCCTCCCTTTTCTTAGGTTATAGTGTGTGAGGTGAAAAGGAAAAAAACAAACAAGAAACATGAGGTGATGGGAAAGGAGGTGCTGCTTGTAGTGCACGCCTCTTGTTGTGTCATTCATTCTCTTTGAGAAATGCTGCTGTACAGTTGACTTCAAGTTAAGGTAGAGATCCTCCCTCCCTAGTCATTGCTGATGGAAAGAATGCAGGTAAGGCTGGCGATGTGAATGGAGTGACACGGATTGTTTATAATTGCCATGGCAGAATTCATCAGAGGACCTGAATCTACGTAATAATTATGTAGATTATGCCGCAAAAACTGTAGATCATGTGAACAACAGAACTGTCATCTATGCAGGTCTTGGCGATTGATGATCTTGAACCATCATACTGAAATAATTTTTTTTGGGGGGGGGGTGGGGAGTGCAGAGATACTGTAACTGTTACTCTTGATATCCTATTATCCTACTAGGACTAAATTTTCAGGTAATAGAAATAGAAAAATATCATTTTTTCTTTAAGTAATAAATAAACAATGTTAGTGACCTGGGCTTGAATTTTATTTGCTAACCTTAATAAAGTGTCTGAATTTTTCTCAACAAACTATCTGGTTGTCCTTCGTAGAATCAGTAAGTCATGTTAGCATTAAGCAAGCAGTGTTACTGACATATTATGTCATGCAATTGTATTAGTAATATAGTAATCGGACTGAGTGGAGTACAGTTCAGGAAGGAATCGGGCAAGTAATTTCAAAATCAGACAAGCATGCAGGGCAAGGTCAATTTGAAATTACAAGCATGATCTCTCCCTGAATTGTATGACACAAGATGCACTTAATAACAAGTTTTGAGATTAAAAAGTCTTTTAAGAACTTCCTTCGAGTCAAAAGGTTAGTTGACAGTGTTTTCAATAAGTTGTAAAAACTGTAAGAAACATTACAAAGGCTGCTATTGAGTTGAATGTGAATGGCAAAGGTATCCAATTACAAAAAGTCAAAACTGCCGGATACCTGTAATTGAATGCATGAGATTGTACATCAATTATGTGTCAAATAGGCGTGTGGAGAACTAATCATGATCGAGAATTCTGTTATAGATACAATTAAATGGTTAACAAGGAAGGTTCTCTAAGGAAGTCCGTATATATTGTCATCCACAAGTATAAATCTGAGACTTGCACCAAAAGATCTATAGCAATTGGGCACTGAAAAACTGGCATTATTTAAGGTGTTCCTGTTTAGAAGGAAAGAATGAATGCAAAATGAACAAGTACACTGCAGAGTTGGGTTATTACATTGCAAGGTTGTGTCATTTTTAACTTTACTCTTTTGCATATCATTAGCCTGCGTTGCAGATGCTCAAATAACAATGAATAGGGAACCAGTTGGATTGTTGCAACATGCATAATATTCATGCTCTCAGGTATCGCCAGGCATTCGCCCCACTCTGCTTGCCACTCCCCCTGTTACACCCTAGTGCCAGCTATGCAGGCTAGCACAACATAATTTATAAATTTATAATTTTATAATTTCTGTTTCAAAGCACAATTTACCTCACATGTAGTAAAATACGTTCACAAAAATAAATTTACTCTGACTCTTTAATAGTGTTCAGTTACAAAGAAACTTGTTAGGATGCTTAGAAAACACATTCGTGACATAATAATACTCTTACTTTCAATTCTAAGGTTTCAAACTGTAAAATATATACATGCAATCTATAATCCATCATTTTGAAGTGTTATTCAAATAATTATGTCAAGCTATTAGCTATTGCCTGGCTTTTCACATCCTGTTACATGCTTGAACAGGCTTATGTTGTAATACTTTGCTCTTTAATATGCCAATCTGCATACACAACACAAAATAACTTGTCATCTTTAAGATTACATATCTATAGATAAAATATACCTTGGTCAGTGTGTCATAAATTTGCCTTTTAAAAAAATCAGGCACCACAGATTTTTAGGATTCAGATTTTTTCTAAAATTGAAAATTTGATGTAAAAAGTTGATCATTACACTGGATCACCAACTTTGTTCCGGTAAGAATCAAGAAGTTCCTTGCGATCAGCTGGTAATGTCGCAAAGTACTTCTTCTGTTCTTCAGAATACTTTAAATCCGTTGGAACAATATCCCTAAACGACCAATCTTTCCAGTGGAAATTGAACTTTTCCAGAAGCTCAATTCGCTTTTCATCCCCTTGTACAACATCCACTGGTTCTTTTTTCAGCAAGTCGGGCACCAAGATGTCCTTGAAAATGACCACACCCCTGATTGCAAACCAGCCGCCATACCTGGCATGCACGCTGACTCCACAGATCTTTGTTTTTTGGTCCCAAGGATCATTAGAAACACTGCTGCGTTGGTAATAATAGGCGGCACCAGCCACATGAGCCGCTGTCTGGACTAACACTTTGGGTCTTCTGGAGGGGTGCATCTCAAAGTCGTGGATAGCTTCTATCTCATGCCGAGGAAATTCTGCCTTGACTTTTGCAAAGATATGGGCCATGAATTCATCAAGCGGATCCCGGCCACCAATACAAGATATCTCTTTGATAAATGGCTTGAATCCATTGTCAAACATCAGGGGAGTGCTTATGATGACAAGAGCAAGAGTGTCATATGGGTGGGGTAGGTCAAATGCTTTGTGGACCAGTTGATCATTGTACCAACCAATCTGTTTACAACACAAGTGAAAAGGTTAGCATTAATCTAGTTTTTGTATTTTTTTTCCTCTTCATAAGTATACAATACACAAGTACGTAAATTACATTTACTTTTACCTTAATTATTTTTATGTAATAGCTTGTTGACTTCTCTGTTAATATCCCCCCTCAAACTGCCTTGAAAATGAACAAAATCAATTTCTCCTCACAATTTCAAAACATAAAAGGTAAAGTGTGCATACAAGCCAAGTGGCCCATCAGGCCAACACTTATCTGCGGTTTCTGTAGCATGAAGCAACTAGGAGTATTTCTACTCCCCTCTGGATGGGATGCTAGTCCATCGCTGGGTTACCCCCAGCATTAAATTCGCTGAGTACCCATTTGACCTAGGTGGAGAGAGGCACTGTGAGAGTAAAGTGTCTTACCCAAGAACACATCACAATCACATGAAAACAATTTGGTCTCCAAAGCAAAACTTCTTGATATTTTAACAAGTTGGCTTGACTAGTACTTTCACTAATGAAAGGCCCAAAATGGCAGCATGTGATATCACATTATTTCTTCATTTGTAAGTTTTGTATGGTTTGTCACTTGTTGACCCTTGAAATGGAGTTATCAGCAGAGGACACATTGCATTTTCTAGCTTATATCTCAGTTATTTACTTTTAAAATGTCTTGGGACTGGGCTTCATAAGTGGCAGATCTGAGAATATTGTTTGTGAGACCTCACGAAAAATCCAGTCGGTTTTTTATTGTTAAAATAAAACTCTTGGAAATGTGTTCTCATCTAAAGGGGCCCTGGGGTATCGGTCTTTTCCTCAATTGACTCAAATCGGCATGCTTATGAGGGTCATAATTTGAGAAAAGGCACTAAATTTATTTATTTTAAATACATATATTTATTTCTCTTATTTTGGACTGTTTCATTTGACAAGGGTACTTATTGGAAGGAGACTCTACAATAGCATCTAAGGTCGTAATTTTGCTTCCAAATGTGAACGCTTGGATGTCTTGTTTAAGCCTTGCATTCAATTAACATATGCTCTAAGCTCTAAGGGATATTGCCCAGAGGTAAGCCTAAAATAGCCTGTGTAAATTTGCAACAAAAACAAAGAGGGAGACAAGGAAGGCAAAACAATTGATAAGAGATGTCCAGAATGTTTTTCAGGGCATGTCAACTTGACAAACACCACTCATTTTTAGGCTGTAAAAAATAATAGCTGCAGTTGTTCTAAAACTCAGAAATGTTGTTATGGTTTTGTTATTGTTACTGACCATTTCCAAAAAAATGGTCAAAGCAAGAAGATATCATTGAGTCGCAGCTACTCAACTACTGTCATGCCAGTGATCAAGCTGCTGTTAATCTAGTCCGTATTAAAACTCAAAATAGTTTTATACCCCGTAATCGCAGGACAAGCGCAATTATTAAGCTCATGGAATTGAAAATTTGAACATAGATTAGAATCGATTTTGGCAGCTCAGAGATTTTTAACGAACACATGAGCAGTTGCCTAATTATCTCCCAAATGGAAAATTAAATTGAACCGGTACATGACAAATGAGATCAGATGAACTGTAAACAAGAGTACATTTGTACAAAACAAAGCTCTTTCCACACAACGTACTTAACCTACGCGGTGTTGCTGTGTTTCAAAACGTTCTGTCTGTTGAAGCTGTCGAGAAGTTGACTACATCTTGCAAATCGGGTTGAGGATTTCACTATTTACATCACAAGAAGGCGAAAGAGCGCATCGGAAAGTTCTTCTCAAGATCTGGCAAGATTTTGAATAATAACGACTCTGTCACTGAAATCACCTTCTCTAGAAAGCACTTTTACCTAGTTAAGATAATTCCTACCTTGAAAGGGTGCGATTCCAATCCAACTGGGGACAAAATAGCAGAAACTTTGGAAATCACCTCTTCTGTGGAACAGTCCGACATATTGGATGGGTCGTCTTCAGCTCTTTAGCTACCAGACTCTTCTCTTCCAATTCGAGCTAATTCGGGGACGAAAAAACGCGATTTTTTTTTCGGCGCGCGGGAAATCCGAACATGCTTTTGAGGACGGGTTTGTTTTTTCTTGCCATTTGTCTCGAGAATAACTTAGTGCGATCTATTACCTGCAGCCAAAAATTAAGCTGGGGCGAAGTAATTACGGTCCAAGAGGATCACAAAGGAAATTATAAAAACAATCTTCACTGCACCTTTGAAGCAAAGTTTGTGACAGACATTGAGCCAAACGTGCTGCAATTGTCCTGGTATGCTTTCGACATCTCAGGAGAAATGTCTGACTGTGACACCGACTTCCTGGAAATTTATGTGAGGTAAAGCGCGCTATATAGCTTGCATAATGGTCATACCGTGACACGATGTTTTTCTCTTCATTGCGGAGGCATTTAGAGGGGTTTGTTGTCACGCGTGTCACGCAAGGTGCGGGGAGACGTCGTGTAATAAAATATTCATACTGAATTACCTTGCCTATTGAGTATGGAGGGTGAATCCGCGGAGAGAAAGACTCTTTACAGCATCATTGCATGTCAGATGTTTCAAAATCACAAATTTTGCTCATAATTAATCAAGATTAATCAGTGGGGATTTTGGCTTGGCTTCGGATGGGGTGGGGTGGGGTGCCGTGACGAGGATTGTGGCTGCTCCCCTTTCTGAACAGTAGGTGCCGTTAGGCAGGACTTCTTCTACATCTGCAATTTTAAAATCTGTAAAGAGCTCGTGACTTGGTCCCGTGAGGAATCGTCGTTTTTATATCAGTACATGAGTATATGAGTACAATGTAATATTTATACATATTTCAAGGGAAAAAAGGCCAAAGATATATCACATGAAATGCAGGTGCGTACCTTTTTTGTTAAACTTTATCTGGTAACTATTTTTGGACAAGAATATAAAACCTGACGAAAGATGGCCTCGTTGTGATTTCTTGAATGTTTTAACCAATCAGCGCTTAGTTGTCGGATTGGTCAGTCTCTGTTCACTTATATCCTCGTTATTTTTTTCAGCTGTTCCTACAAGTCCATCGGGAGATTTTGTGGCAGAAAAAGACCAAGTGACGTGATCTCTCCTGGTAGTTGTCTAAAGATGGTATTCCATTCGAACAGTGCCGTGGCGGGGCGCGGATTTAAGGCGAGACTTTGTAACAGCTCGACCGCAAAATTTGGCATCACCTCACAACTACGGGTAATTTTCTCAGGGTTAGTCTGAGAAAGCTATCACGTGAGATCACGTGAGATCACGCAAGATCATGTGAGATCACTGCTCACCCACTCGATCCCATAGTCTTGAGAGAAAAGGGGAATATTTGACTGAGGACTGCACGGACTCTTTATTGCAAATGCGTCATCTATTTGGCCCTGCTACGTTGACCATCCAAGCAAAGTTATAATGGCAGTAGCCACTAGCTCAGTGTTGTGGACTCACTCGACTGCGCCTCGTGAGTCCACAACATTTTGACCACTGTGATGACGCGTATCGTTGTCGATAAGAGAACAGACCACGCTAAACCACATTTCGATTCGTTTTTTACCACAATATCAACGTCAAAGAAACTGTTTCTTTCAGAGCGCGAGCTGAAAAAGGCATTGCGTGACACATTGACGCGAGCAGCGTTGTCTGGACTCTTATCGACAACGGCAAATTAGCCAATCAGATTGAGAGATTAGTAGCAATTGTGGTAAAATATATATTGTTCTTTTAGGTAATCATAGATGAGTGTGATTCAGGATTTACACTACCAGTGATATTTGAGAATTCTCTCACAATTGCATGAACCTGTGAGTACAATTTGAAAGAATTTTTAAATATTATGTATATTGTCAATCCGTAATTGCTAGAAGTTTCATACGATATGACTGAAAGAAATTACGAACGCGAACGCGTTAAATTGCACTGCGGTGCAAATTACAAATTAACGATGAATTGGCCTGGTCTCAGCCAATCACAATGGAGATATTTTCTCAGTCGCATAATAGATATTGAAGGTGAACATATCAAAGACCGTATTATTTACTTTGTGTGCGCGCTCGCTCGATCCATGGTGTTTGGATATCCCGATCAAACACTGTCTCTCGTGTTTGATATATTACTTCAAATTTTGAAAACTGGACGATGTAGCTAGGTAGAAACACGTAGTTATCCTCCGCTGAATTTTCCATGAAGTATAATACGTCTAGAAAAGAGATTATGATCTCTTGGTCTAGATCACCGCTCGCCTGTAAAATAGTAATTAGATTTTTAACACCAATTAAGAGCTCATTAAAATTCAAGTTGGAGTTTCCGAAAATTTACACTGAAGAATGAACCAGATTTCCGGTTGACTGTATTGGATTGAAAGATGTTTCCGAAATTTCCGGGAAAGAGGAAAACCTCGCTAAGTGTACTCAAATTTCGAAAAATTCCTCCCGGAAATTTCCTTTCCGTTCGATTTTGCTTGTAAGATTTTCCGTTTGATGGACAGTCAACAGTTTGCAGACCAGGAAATTTGCAAAACATTTGTTTCTGTTTCAAAATGTCTGGGATTTGTAGTAGAATGAAAAACACGCTACATATCGATTTATTGGTTGCTTAAACAGATAATTACCTCGCCCTCACTGTCCTTTAGAAGAGAAAAATTCAACTGAAGTGAAGCAAGCAATTGGTTTTTCACAAAAGTGATGTTGTGGACAGTATGAGAGAAAATCTGCTGAAAATCGGGGGCCATCGTCTACAACACTTAGCTGCGTAGATAATATACAAAAAAGCAACGGATCTGGAAAGTCTGCTTTCTATTTATACAAACCCTTGCAAACGGTTTCACGAAACGATGTATGTACGTTTTAATTGACAAACACAACTCTACAGAATGTAACAAATTAAAATTAAATTCTGTCGTTTTCAGCACGTTCTTGAATCACCGACTTAATTTTCTGCTTTATACATTATTATGCTGTTCCTCTACGGACGGAAATAAATTTAAAATTGATTGTTACTAACGTTTTCAGCATGTCTTTGAATTACCAACGAATCAATTTTTTGCCGATATTTCACTGTTCTTTGATATTATCCAACATATGTCCAGAGGGTTGAATATGTCTTCGTTCAGTCGTTGCATTTCTTCCGCGCTCAGCAACTTGGCGGCCTCCGTGAGTTTTGACTTTTTGTCAACCTCTGCATTAGGAACTTGGCAATGGTAACTCCAAATGCGCAGTCGTTGCCGTCGATTTTTAGTTTCACTATCTTCTTTGCTCTGGCCAGGAACAAGTTGGCTCACTTCTTGTTGTTGCGGTACTGTACAATCCATGCCTTCGTCCTGGAGTTCCAAGGGACCTTGACTCAGGAGGGCAGGTGAACTTCCACCAAGGTTGTCGCTGTTTGAAGGATACATGGAGTTCTTTTCATACTCCATCAGTCTTGGAAATTTGTCAGTCACTCAGAATGTCGTGTTTACTTCTCTTCCTCTTCCTCTACTTCATCGACGCGAAACAAGCACTGACTTGCTTTATATAGCGGCTTGAGGATTCGCTGAAAAACAACCTCGTAATTAGCAATTTGTTTGCCAGTCAATTACCAATACAATGCGAAACTGATTATGCCTCTAGCAGTAATTAACCACAACATTACAAACAACAAACATTAGAAACAAAATTATAATAACAATCAAACTAAGGTTATACAATTAAAATACATCAAGTTGCGCTAATATGCAGACTCTTGATTAAAAGTGGGGATTTACCGAACAGATAACACAACCTAGAGGAACAATTAAAAAATAGAAGCTTGTATGTACACAAAGTAAAAGATATTATTCAACACAAGAGTATTTAACAGTTATTCCACGAGCGCGCGTTGGCTATAATCATCTGATATCCAACAAGCGCGAATGGAATAATTGTTTTATTAACCTTGACCCTAACCTAAAATAAAGAAAGCTATAAATAAAAATAAAAACGCCGCCCAAAATTACCATTACCAAAGGCGATAATTACATTAACAATTCGTGTAATGAACGATATTTACAGTACCTAAGTTACAGTCTGTTTATAATAACAATATTACAAACATTGCCAAGGGCGATAATTACCTTGATAATTTGCGCAATGAACAATACATACAGTAACTAGGTTACAGTAATATTTATACTAACAATATTACAAACATTGCCGAGGGCGATACCGTTAAACAATACATACGGGGACAAACAGGACTGACGAGTCCCATAAGGAAGAAACAGCTGTCCACTGTTGCGATCCTGCTTTATCGGTTCTTGTCATGTTGGTGTCTCGAAACGTCTATCACGTAGTATCAGCCTTGCAGTCTATTGTTTGTTATTATATTTTTTTTGGCTGATCAGATCTTTTGTAGATCCTGCGTTGACAGCGTTTTTCGTATGCAGTCCCTTACAGTTTCTGTTTTCTCTATACATACGGTAACTACCGTAGTGATTCGATTTAACACCCTCCTTCCAATGAGCGTCCCCTTTCGAATAAGCGCCGCCCTTCGAATATGTTTTTACTAATAAGCGCCCCTATTCCACTAAGCGCCCCCATTCTAATAAGCGCCCCTATTCCAATAAGCACCCCCATTCTTATAAGGGCCCCTATTCCAATAAGCGCCCCCATTCTTATAAGCGCCCCTATTCCATAAAGCGCCCCCATTCTTATAAGTGCCCCTATTAAAGTTTTCTTTTGAACATTCGGTTGTAAGGGCCTTGTCTCGAATAAGTGCCCTGTCTCGAATAAGCGCCCTTCCTTGAGGTGCCAAAAGTAAATAACCGCCCCGGGCGCTAAATCGAATCATTACGGTGAGTTACAATAATATTTATAAAAACGATTTTACTAACAATTTTCATATATTAGTATATTTTTCAAAGGCTTACAAAATTTGTAGTCTTCAAAAACAAGTATTTTTTCACTCCAAATTACTGTGAAACATGTAAAATCATACAAAATAAAATGAAAATTATCAGGGGCACCCCGACGGAGTGGCCGTACGTTCGTCCACTGTCTCCGGAACGAATTTGAATGTGATAACTTGTTAATAACACCTATACATTGCGCAGTTAATTACCGTTGTTATTTGCGGTTTAGATTTTTTACGCCTAATTGGCTTTTTCCTTGCTTCACACTAACACTCCATAAATGTGTCTGGTGTTGACGGTCTTCTGAGTTTCGCGGTAATTATCTTCGGCTATTTTCGGAAGGTTTCGGTTGAAATACTTCGGATGACCGTCGGCGGTCTTCGAGTTTCTTCGTAGTAACTTCCGCAATTTTCATTGTAATTTGCATTCGTATTCCAATTTTGCAATTCCACTTTTCTACACTCTTGTTACCATGGTTTCAGGAAAGCTGCACTCTAAACAATCAGAATTCAGAATTTTTTTTAAAAAAATAACAAATTTAGAACATTGCCAACATTGGTATTAGTTTGATAATTATCCGCGTACATAAACTCTTACTAAAAACACACCGCGTCATTGAATTGGAGTGCGAAAGTAAATACAAAACTCAATTATAACCGATAGCCTTCTAATGAAGTAATTTTCAAGATAATTCACACCAATTAAATCAATTTTACAAAAATGATCTTAAAACCTTCTAATCTTGCTAGTATTTTAGAGAACGACTAGCCAGCGACGGTTTGTAAAAACGTTTAGGAATCCGATAATAATTCAGAAAACTAACGCTAGTGACGAACAAGTTCTTCTCTCGGTCTCCTCAATTTTCTGCTGGCATTTTGCTGTTCTTTGATATTATCGAACATATATCCAGAGAGTCGAATATGTCCTCGTTCAGACGTTGCATTTCTTCCGCGGTCAGCAACTTGGCGGCCTCCGAGAGTTTTGACTGTTTAGTAACCTCTACATAAGGAACTTGGCAATGGTAATTCCAAGTGCGAAATCTTTGCTTTTGCCTTTAAGCTTCTTCTTTTTCTTTTTCAAGAACAACTTGGTTCGGTTCCTGTTGCTGCGGTACTGCATAAGCCATGCTTTCATTTTTGGAAAACGCTCCACTCATGCGGGAAGGAGAATTTCCGCACAGCTTCTCGCTGCTCGAAGGATACATGTAGTGATCGCGTCTCCACTTCTTGTTCGGATCGCCTTCACTCCGACTTCAGATATGTTTTCTACCGAACTGAGAAAAGTAATCTTATCCACTCGTCTTCAATGCTTTTTCCGACCGAAAAACATCAACGTATAAACGTCATGGAGACTTCAAATAACATTCATTAGGTTTATTTTTGTCCATTTACCGTAAAATAAGAAATGGAGGGGCTGAGTTCATTTAGACTAGACTCAATAAGGATAAGATAAGGATAAGAGCGACCTGTGAAACTATAAAACTTCCGGTTCAATTGCGCATGCCCAGCTGACATACACGTGGTTCAATCAACTGGCTGCTGTCCTACTTCCGCTCATTTTTATCGA